TCAGATTGTTTTTCAGAGTCCATAGTCTCTCATTGTTCACCTCCCCTTCCAATTTCCCCCAAACGCCTTCTCCTAACTCCCCATGTCCTCCATGCTATTTGTTATGCTCCACAAATAAGTGAAACCCTATGATAATTGACTCTCTCTGCTTGACTTATTTCACTCAGCATAATCTCTTCCAGTCCCGTCCATGTTGCTACAAAAGTTGGGTATTCATCCTTTCTGATGGAGGCATAATACTCCATAGTGTATATGGACCACATCTTCCTTATCCATTCTTCCGTTGAAGGGCATCTTGGTTCTTTCCACAGTTTGGCGACCGTGGCCATTGCTGCTATAAACATTGGGGTACAGATGGCCCTTCTTTTCACTACATCTGTATCTTTGGGGTAAATACCCCGTAGTGCAATTGCAGGGTCATAGGGAAGTTCTATTTTTATTTTCTTGAGGAATCTCCACACTGTTCTCCAAAGAGGCTGCACCAACTTGCATTCCCACCAACAGTGTAAGAGGGTTCCCCTTTCTCCACATCCCCTCCAACACATGTTGTTTCCTGTCTTGCTAATTTTGGCCATTCTAACTGGTGTAAGGTGATATCTCAATGTGGTTTTAATTTGAATCTCCCTGATGGCTAGTGATGATGAACATTTTTTCATGTGTCTGATAGCCATTTGTATGTCTTCATTGGAGAAGTGTCTGTTCATATCTTCTGCCCATTTTTTGATATGATTATCTGTTTTGTGTGTGTTGAGTTTGAGGAGTTCTTTATAGATCCTGGATATCAATCTTTTGTCTGTACTGTCATTTGCAAATATCTTGTCCCATTCCGTGGGTTGCCTTTTTGTTTTCTTGACTGTTTCCTTTGCTGTGCAGAAGCTTTTGATTTTGATGAAGTCCCAAAAGTTTATTTTGGCTTTTGTTTCCTTTGCCTTTGGAGACATATCTTGAAAGAAGTTGCTGTGGCTGATATCGAAGAGATTACTGCCTATGTTCTCCTCTAGGATTCTGATGGATTCCTGTCTCACGTTGAGGTCTTTTATCCATTTTGAGTTTATCTTTGTGTATGGTGTAAGAGAATGGTCGAGTTTCATTCTTCTACATATAGCTACCCAGTTTTCCCAGCACCATTTATTGAAGAGACTGTCTTTTTTCCACTGTATATTTTTTCCTGTTTTGTCGAAGATTAACTGACCATAGAGTTGAGGGTCCATATCTGGGCTCTCTACTCTGTTCCACTGGTCTATGTGTCTGTTTTTATGCCAGTACCATGCTGTCTTGGTGATCACAGCTTTGTAGTAAAGCTTGAAATCAGGTAACGTGATGCCCCCAGTTTTATTTTTGTTTTTCAGCATTTCCTTAGCGATTCGGGGGTCTCTTCTGGTTCCATACAAATTTTTGGATTATTTGTTCCAGCTCTTTGAAGAATACTGGTGGAATTTTGATTGGAATGGCATTAAAAGTATAGATTGCTCTAGGCAGTACAGACATTTTAACAATGTTTATTCTTCTGATCCAAGAGCATGGAATGGTCTTCCATCTTTTTGTGTCTTAGACCCAGAAAGACCAGGCATAGCAACTTCTTATTAGACATGTTGCTGGTGGCGAAGGAAACAAGCAGAAATGAACTATTGGGACTTCATCAAGATAAAAAGCTTCTGCTCAGCAAAGGAAACAATCAACAAAACTAAAAGGCAGCCTATGGAATGGGAGAAGATACTGACATATGACATTGACACATGACATATCTGATAAAATGTTATTATCCAAAATCTATAAGTAACTTACAAACTCAATACCCAAAAACCAAATAATCCAATTAAGAAATGGGCAGAAGACATGAATAGATATTTTCCTCAAAAACATATGCAGATGGTCAATAGGCATATGTAAAGGTGCTTAGCATTATCCATCATCAGGGAGATACAAATCAAAACCACAGTGATACACCACCTCATACCAGTCAGAATGGCTAAAATTAACAACTCAGGAAAAAACAGATGCTGGTGAAGATGCAGAAGAAGGGGAATTCTTTTGCACTGTTGGTGGGAATGCAAACTAGTGCAGCCACTCTGGAAAACAGTATGGAGGTTCCTCAAAAAGGTAAAAATAGAACCACCCTGCAATCCATCAATTGCACTGCTAGATATTCACCCAAATGATTTAAGAAAACAAACAAACAAAAAAAAACAAAAACAGATTGAAAGGGGTATATGCACCCCAGTGTTTATGCAGCATTATCAGCAATAGCCAAATTATGGAAAAAGCTCAAATATCCAAGTGATGAATGGATAAAGAAGAGGTGGTACACACAGACTCACACGCACAATGGAATATTACTCGCCCATCAAAAAGATGAAATCTTGCCACTTGCAATGATGTGAAGGGTGCTAGAGTGTATTATGCTAAGTGAAACAAGACAGAGAAAGACATACCATATGATTTCACGCATGTGGAATTTAGGAAACGGAACAGATGAACATATGGGAAAGGGGGAATAAAAGAGCAAGGGAAATAAACCATAAGAGACTCTTAAATTTAGAGAAAAAACTAAGATTGATGGATGGTTGTGGGTAGGGGTTAAATGGCTGATGGGTATTAGGGAAGGTCAGTTGTTAGGATAAGAACTGGGTGTTAGGGACGCCTGGGTGGCTCAGTTGGTTAAGCGGCTGCCTTCGGCTCAGGTCATGATCCCAGCGTCCTGGGATCGAGTCCCACATCGGGCTCCTTGCTTGGCGGGGAGCCTGCTTCTCTCTCTGCCTCTGCCTGCCTCTCTGTCTGCCTGTGCTCGCTCACTCTCTCTCCCTCTGTCTCTGACAAATAAAATCTTAGAAAAAAAAAAAAAAAGAACTGGGTGTTACCTATAAGTGATGAATCACTAAATTTTGTTCCTCAAACCAGTATTTCACTGTATGTTAACAAACTAGAATTCAAATAAAAATTTGGGAAATTTCATTCATTCATGAAATATTAAATACCCATAATTGGTCTAAAATCTTGCAGACACACAGAAATGTACATATAGTCCACATTCTCACCAAGCTTGCAATCAAATAGGGGACTTTGCCATTAAATAAGTAATTAATTGTAAATGTGGTTAATGTTAAGATGATGAGGTTTCTGTGAGAGGATGTGGGAGATCTAGAAAAGTTATGTGATAATAAATGGAAAGATGGTGGGCAGTGGGATGAAAGCATTTTTGCAGGGGAGAGTGACAGCCACGAACACTGGCTACAGCAAGGAAAAGGGTTTGGGGGAGATAAAAGGTAGAGTTAGAGGGCACCTGGGTGGCTCAATGGGTTAAAGCCTCTGTTTTTTTTTTTGTTTTTTTTTTTTTAAATGATTTACTCTATATGTGTTCTGGAGATTTAGAATGAAAGAAATACCATATTTTGACCAAGAGCACTATTATCTACAGAAAGCAAGGATAGGATGTTTCAGCATTGGAAATTCACCACATTACCAAAGAGGAAAAGTTACATAATCATCTCAGTAGATGCTAAACACATTTGATAAAATTTAATACCTTCTTTTTAGAAGTTGAGGCAGAAAAACACACTTGATTTATTTTCTTTGCCGTTCTCAATGTAGCTTTCATGTGTGTATATGCATATGTATCACAAACTCAGTGCAAAGTAATTGAAAAATGCATTTAAAATCATCTGAACTACTGAGATTATGCATATATATTTTCTCAGAATCTCTTTGTAGTTTGTTGATGATTTTATTATATTTTTGCCATGTCATTACATCTTTTTCTCCAAAGGCATATGGCATGGAGCAATTAATTACATTTTAGCCATTTAAATATGTTGGGACATTGAAGTTATGCACATCCTAAATTATTTCTTTGAAGATATTCCTTAAGATAGAGTTAAATATTTTGGGCAATGGGTACATGGAAGTTTTTTCTCTGTATTGTGAATTTGTCCTTCTGAAAGTTACTGTAGAAATGGTCTATGAGAGAGTTCATTTACATATGTGACATGTTAACAGAAAAAAATAATTGGAGAAAATTACATTAATTGTTGTATATAAGACAACCAAACCTTTCACCTTGTGTAGGTGCTTTTAAAAATGACTTTTATTTTTTTGATTCCTCAGAAAACCAGACAAACAAAACAATAGATACTTCTGTTAATAAGAAAGCAGCTGATAGCACATCACAGGTAAGATTTCTTCCTTCTATTTCAAAGTAAAATTGTAATTACAGTCCACAGGATAATGGATTTCCATCAATATTCTTTAATACAATGAAAATTATTCTAATTTAGTAATCATACGTCTCAGACCTAGAATTTCAATTTTTGTTTTTCAGTTTCTACTTTTGAGATTTCTTATACATTTGTTATTATTATATTTTCCTTTATTTCTTTAAATGTATTCTTAAAAGCTGTTTGGAAGACTTTGCTGAATTCAACATCTGGTTCCACTTGGGAGTCATTTTCTTTTGACTGTCTTTTGTCATTAGTTGGATTCTGCTTTACTGAGCTTTGCATGTTTGTCTAATAATTTTTGATAAATTTAAATTTTAGTAAATTTTGAAAATTGGACCTTATAAATATGTTGCAGCAAGTGGATTCTTTTACATTCTTTAAGAATTTGTTAAGAGGGCTCCTGGGTGGCTCAGTGGGTTATGATCTTTGGCTCAGGTCATGATCTCAGGTCCTGGGATGGAGCCCCTCATCGGGCTCTCTGCTTAGCAGGGAGCTTGCTTCCCCTCTCCCCTCTCTCTGCCTGCCTCTCTGCCTACTTGTGATCTCTGTCTGTCAAATAAATAAATAAAATCTTTAAAAAAAAAAAAGAATTTGTTAAGAACTTTAATTTTTGGATTATAGGTTTTTGTGTGTGTTAAATCATTTCCTATGAAGTCATTATCATAGAAACATTCATAATTGTAAGATTTAGAATTACATCATTATCTTTGGATTAGACCTGAATTTTTTAATATCAAGGAATTATTTTCTTGAATTACATAAAATTTGAATTTTGTAGTTGAAAACCTTAATCATTTGGAGCTGATTTCAATATAATATGTTATAAAGTAATTATGATTAACATTACACATTATATGTTATACCTGGTGTTAAGCTCTTTGTATGCATATTTGGATTCATCCTTATAACAGACCCCATATCCAGAGTGTGGAAATTGAGGATGTTATCTTTTAACATAAATTCACATTGCTAATATGAGCTAGAACTAAAAGATGCCCTCAGTCTTTTTGACTTAAAGATACTGGCTCTTTAGGTCTGTATTGTACTACTTCCTTTTTTGTTGCTATTATGTAGAATTTTAAATTACATTTCTAATGATTTGGGACAATGGGTTGATTAGGTTGGATGTCAGTTAAAAGTGTAGCATACACCATATCTTATTATAGCATACCTTTTGTTAGGGGAGAAGATTATTTTATATAACCCAATTCTAGCTTTGAAGTTGCCTTTGGTGCTTTGGTGAATTAATACTGATAATTTGATATAGCATTGATCAATATTTTAAATGCTGGAAAGTGGTATGTTTAATCACTTAACAGTGAAAGTACTTAGCTCTATGCAATGAGCAAATAAAAAAAAAACTTCTAAAATTTCTTGTGAAAATCGTTCAAAATTCTTTTCTGTATGACAGATGTATAGCTCATGAGTATTTGGGGTCATTTGTCTGATAGACTCTTTTTTTCAAGGGAAGCCATTTAGTGTTCCAGATTGAACCAGGCTATTCATTATCCTTGTTGCCCCTTAGTATTATTTCATTTTCCCCTTACATCTGCCAGAGTTTCCTTTGCAAAATGCAGAAGTTTTGTTTTTCAGAGTGGAAAAGCCACAGGCAGTGATTCGGGTGGTGTCATTGATCTCACAATGGATGATGAAGAGAGTGGAGCTTCACAAGGTACTTAATAAGTAATTGTACCAGTACCAAGGAATGTTTTGATAACATCTTTTCCTTTTAATCCAGTATAGTAACCACTGAAGACAGATCTCTGTAGCATTATGCTTGATGTATTTGTATCTATTTTAGAATAAAAGTTTTTTTTTATATTATCCCATATAGTGGTTACCTATTTTTGAGGGCTTTTTCTGAGATGCAAGCATTTATTCCATAGGCTGTCCTATACCTTCTTTGAGATTAGACACTCTATGTGTATCTTATTTTAATAACTGGATAATGTAAATTAGCAATACTCTATATTATCTAACAAAAGAACCTAAACAGTGATAAAGATCACTGATAAAAAAAAATTCATCAATATATATATGTTTAGGAGAATGTCCTTGCTCTAGATAATGGATACATAGATACGTGTGAATATAGGAAATGAAATTATTCTGATTGACATGATATTGTATTGAGTTCAGTAATAGCATTCTCTCATGAAAAACAATGTAAAACTCTATTTCTATAAATGTGACTTAGAATGTGTGATAGAATCAATGGTGAATTATTTAAGGCCATGATGTGATGTTTTAATGTGGTAAATGTTTTAACGTGGTAAACATGTAAATGTGGTAAATAGAAATTGTTCACTTAGTGGTAAATGTGACTCAGTGGCAAGCAAATGTAAAATTGGCAAATGAAAAAACCTGTATTTCTAGTTTTTGCCTATCAATAATAATCACAGTGTCTCACTTTTAATTAATAGACTCTAAAAAGCTAAACCATACCCCTGTGTCAACCATGGGTTCTTCTCAGCCTGTGTCTCGACCATTGCAACCCATCCAGCCAGCACCACCTCTTCAGCCATCTGGGGTGCCAACAAGTGGACCATCTCAGACAACCATACATTTACTTCCCACAGGTAAACTTGCTGAATCATTGATTTGAAGCCGTTAGTTTTGCTCATGGTGAAATACGACTATGGAAGTAAATAGAAAGATTAGGTAGAAAATTAAGGATAATTCTCTTTTTTTTAGAGGACAGTGCATCTTCTTGAACATAGTGTAACTTAGATTTGCTGACCTTCTTAAGTAGCAGCACTAACTGATACGGAGTGGTTATAAGGAAGAAAAATTACATATGTGTCATCTGCCACTATAAGCAGCAGAAATGAATATAGTTTCTCTTTAGGGGGGCGGCTGTAATGGTTCGTTCTGATTATGACCACAAAGTAATAGTTGACTGATGAAGAAAGAAATTTTAAATGATCCTTAATGTGAACTAGTTTTAACTGACCTGACACTACCTTTGGAGATATATACTAATATTTTACACACTGCCTCTCAAGAAGTTATAATTCCTTTATTTTCAAGATGTAGCCTAGATCTTCTGTTGGAAAGCCAATCAAGACCTTTTGTCTTTTTTTTTTTTTTTAAGGTTTTATTTATTCATTTGAAAGAGAGAGATCACAAGTAGGCAGAGATGCAGGTGGAAAGGGGGAAGCAGGCTCCCTGCTGAGCAGAGAGCCCGATGTGGGCTCGATCCCAGGACCCTGAGATCATGACCTGAGCCAAAGGCAGAGGCTTAACCCCTGAGCCACCCAGGCGCCCTTGTCTTTTTTTTTTTTTTTAAAGATTCTTATTTATTTATTTATTTGAGAACATGCAGGTGGGCCGAAGAGTGCAGGGGGAGGGTGGAAGAGGGGGATAGAATCTCAAGCAGACTGCGAAGAGTGAAACCCAACACGGAGCTCAGTCTCACAACCCTGAGATCATGACCTGAGCTGAAACCACGAGTTGGATACTCAACTGACTGAGCCACCCAGGAGCCCCAAGACAGTTTGTCTTTTTTTTTTTTTTTTTAAAGATTTTATTTATTTATTTGACAGAGCGAGAGAGCACAGGCAAGGGGAACAGCAGAGGTAGAGGGAGAGAGAGAAGCATGCCCCCCGCTGAGCAGGGAGCCAGATGTGGGGCTCTATCCCAGGATCCTGGTATCATGACCTGAGCCGAAGGCAGTTGCTTAACTGACTGAGCCACCCACGGTGCCCCTGTCTTTTTTTTTTTTTTAAATAAAATAGCCCATCCTTAGAGATTTATCTTCGAAATTATGTGTGGACTTTTCTCATTAAGGAAAACATTGAGTTCACCTGGAATTGTATGTAGTGAAAGTTTAAGTCACCACTTTAGGTAATTTAGAAGGAAATATCATTATACAGACCATGTGCAGGATAGATAACAAAATGGGGTAATAAAGAGATGAAGAGGTAGGCATTCCTCCTTCTGTACATTCTACCCCTTTCTAAATGTTCACATTCAAAGTTTAGATATGTAAAGAGTAAGTAAAGATGTTACTAAATAAGCCATTAGTAAAGAAACCTTTTTATCTTTGTCATACCCAATGTTTACTTCCAGGTTTGTTTTATTTTGGAACCCAGTTTTCCATATGAAAGTAGATTTATTATTATTATTTATTATATAGTTAATATGTGGTTATTTGTAAAATGTGATGATAATTCAGAGTTATTAACAAGAAAATATTAACTTCTAAAATAATTATTGTAGTTCCATGCTGCCAGTGAACATTTAGGACTTTTTTGATAAATATATATTAACACCACTCAAGGCATGAATGTTCTCTGAAACATAAATTAGGAGGAATGCTGGAGTAGAGAAGGAAGAATTCTATATTTTAATTGATGTTTTTCTGTTTTGAATTAAAAGATGGTTTGGTTCACCTAAAGAAAATGTCCATTACAATAACCAGCCAGTTTCTTAAACTGTGAGAGTACAGTTACTCCTGGATTTATGCCATCAGTAGAAGACCTGGAAGACCCCAAATCCCACTCTACTAAGAATAATTAAACATTAAGGAGTAAAAATATGCTCTTTTAAGTCAATCCCTTAAGGTCATACTCTGAAGTCTTTATCTTCACATGTTTATCATCAAGTCAAACTAAAGAGTAGGGAGGGGACTAGACATGGTTGAGGTGCTTTTTTCTTCTGAAGTTTGTATTGTAAAAATAGTTAATATTAATTTTGGTTGGCTGTATCTCTTTCAAGATTACAAAAGGAGACTGTTGTATTTCTCTCTTTATTATAGTTAGATTTTATGCAAAATTAATTACCATTAGTATGTTAACATAACTGCATTTTAATGTTTTTCTGCTTTTCATTAGCTCCCACCACCGTGAATGTAACACATCGTCCAGTAACTCAGGTGACCACAAGACTCCCTGTACCGAGAGCTCCTGCAAACCACCAAGTGGTTTATACAACTCTCCCAGCACCACCAGCTCAGGCTCCCCTTCGAGGAACTGTTATGCAAGCTCCTGCTGTTCGGCAGGTCAATCCCCAAAATAGTAAGAGACTTTTCTTCTTGTGTATGGCCTTACGTTCCATGTAGTCCTTCAGCATTTAGTGGGCTTATATTTACATTAGATTTAGCAAAAAATGCTAAATGCTTTTATATATATATATATAAATAAAATTATAATACATTTTTAAATGACTCTTAATAATTATAATTATGTAATTATATAATCATTTATAATTATATCATTTATAATTATATATAAATTATTTATAATATGATACATAATTATATATTAGTTATAAATATAATTATGATATGTTATTTATAATTAATATAGATTAATTAATTTTTCTTCTTCTCTGAGAGAGTTAACCAGAAAAATTGGACATGTGTATTATATGATTTGTGCTCCATGTGTCATCTTCAATTTAATTTTATTTATGGCCTGTATTATCACAATGCTGTATTTGATAATGGTCTACACGCTCTTAAGAGATACCTTGCCTAATTAAAGTAGGAATGATTAATTGTGCCATAGCCCAGATAATGGAAATAATGATTAAGGATAGCCTCCAAGGAGAGAGAGAGCCTTAAAGGTGGGGAAGATGGCTGAGAAATAGAAGACAGGAACATGTTAATATATAATTAACATATATATAATATAATTATACATATATATATAATTATATACATACATATATATAATTATATGTAAATGTTATATTTATAATTATATAGATTATAATTATATAGATTATATTTAGTAGTAAAATCTATCAAACAGAAGTTTATATTAAAAGCATATGTAAAGTTTAAAGAAAACTAACAAAATGAACCACCTATGAAATCTCTACCAGTCTAAGAAGCAGAGCTGATATAGGCATGATCCTACAGGCCTACTGTATACCTTCATTGTATCCCTCTCCCTTTTCATCTGAGGTAACCATGGTCTTCACTTTCTGCTTTTCTGTATGATTTTGCCACCAAATATCACCAAAAACACTTCGTTTTGCAAAATTTAATACCACGGGCAAATCTACCTGGTTAAAGAAACTGCGATTATTAGATGATGATTTCGAGGAGAAAATAAACTAAGCAGAGGCTCTAGTTCACAATATGGCTCAGTTTTTCTCAAGTTTAGAAGAACATTTTCTAGGAAATCAGTCAGTTGGGTCATGAATGAGTTCTGGGTAACTGGGCTTACCGTAGTCAGCGTATAGGCCAGGAACTGAATATATGGCATTAATATGGTCCAGGCACTTTAAATTGTCTGTTTCTGTTGCCCTAACATATGTCAAAATAGTTTTCTGTTAAGTGAAATGAGTATCCTCAGCTGTTGTGTGCGGCATGGAGAAAAAGTGAGAAACCTCATTAACACAAACCAAGGATAACATATCGTCGAGATATTTGTTCCTAGTTGAAAAGATGAGATAGCAGAGATTTTTTTTTTTTTTTTTTTTTTTTTAAATTTGAGAGAGAGACACAGATAGCAAGAGAGGGCATACAGGTGGAGAGGAGAGGGAGGAGGCTCCTTAGTGAGCAGGGAGCCCAAGGTGGGGCTCTATCCCAGGACCCTGGAAGATGACCTGAGCTGAAGACAGACTCTTAACCGGCTGAGCCACCTGGTGCCCCAAGCAGGGCAATTTTCGAGGATAGCTTCAGTTTGTCTACGTTTAGTTACATTGCTCCATTCTGTCCTGTTTGATGTCTACCTGTGATAAACCACTGTGTTCTACTCTTCTAGGGTTTTTGGTTATAGTCCTCTTGGTAGAGGTTCCATTTATTTCTCTCCTGGCTGGATCTCCACTGTTTCTTTGATCTCATATTTTTCTCTTTTTTCATTTTCTTTCTCATAATTGGTGGCACACATCCTCCAAGGGCTTCTTGAGAAAGAGTTTATGGAAATACATTTTTTTTTTGGTTGCTCGTATAAAGGAAAATTTCTTTCTCCTCATGCTTATTATTTGGTTGAGTGTTATTGTTTTTCCTTCCAAATTTTAAAAATATCACTTTGCTGGCTTCAAGTGTTTAATCAGTGTTCTACCAAATTTAGAATAGAAATTTAGGGTTTGTTTGTTTGTTTGTTTGTTTGTTTGTTTGATTTAGAGAGGGAGAGAGAGAGGGAGTGGGGCAGAGGGAGAGAAACTTAAGCACGCTCCATATTCAGTGCAGAAACCGATGCAGAGCTTGATCTCACAACCCTGAGAGCATGACCTGAGCTAAAATCAAGAGTCAGATGTTTAACTGACCGATCCACACAGGTGTCCCTAGAATTCTAGTTTTATGCCTTAATTTTCTTTTGTAGGTGTCACTGTTCGAGTGCCTCAAGCAACTACATATGTTGTAAACAATGGACTAACCCTGGGATCAACAGGACCTCAGCTCACAGTGCATCACCGACCACCACAAGTGCATACTGTAAGTGTTGATGTTTGGATTTTCAAACTTTTCAACTGTAGAGCTGTCAAATATTATTGTAGTTAGCTTATCCTTCAGCCTAGTTGTATCAAGAGGAAAGACAGGTCTTCTGTTTTTCCAACAGAAAGTTATGTAAGAAAATAGATCTTGCCATTATGAACAAATGTTCTTAGGGATGGTAGTCCTCAGGGATCACTGAGGTTGCTTGTGGTGGTGTACAGAGTTTAGAAGAGTCCACAGCTAGGGCATGTAGAGTGAAAATAGACCATTTTTAACTCATGGTTACATTAAAAAGAGTATTTTTGAGTATTAAAAAGTATTTTTTTTCATGTTCTAGCTTTATTCTTTTTCTCAAAACCGTATAGCAGTTCTAATTGGTACATTGCCATCACTTTATTATTTTTAATACTCCAGTGGTATTGGGAATTCATTTAAGAGACGACAGAGAAGATCAAAGATTTTTCCTTAGATTTAGGCTCCAAAACAATGTCATATTATTCTGCGACATGTTTTTAATAGTATTTGGTATAGTATACCATGTATATGGAAATGTTGGCTTTATGAGAAGGAAGGAAACCGAGATTTCATACCACTTTCCACCAAGCAAAGTGTCCCTTTTTAAGTATGCCTAATAAAATTGCTAGCATTTCTTGAGCGCTTGCTGTGTGCCAGGCACTGTTAATATACTTGGTCCTCACTCAGGAATCCTTTAGGATTCTCGTTCTCCTTTTTTATTTTTTATTATAAATATGGCAGCTAATACACAGAAAATAACCGGCCCAAGGTCTTACCTCATAAAAACTCATGCATTCCAGCTTTCCAATCCATCCTCTTAGCAGCTATTTTTCTTATCCCACTATAGTGAAAAAATTAATGTTAATGGAGCACTAACTGTATGGACTAGTATAGTCCATATAGTATAACATATACTAAATATATGTTAATGAAACACTAATAGGCACTCTACTAAGTACAGGTATTATTTTACTTAATTCTCACAACCCTATGAGGATTATTATTCTCCTTTTGATAGAAGATACTGTGTCACAAAGATGTTAAGTGGTTACTCAGGTTACTCAGTGTCATTACCCAACCTACTATCAGAGCCATTTTAATGCAGGCTGTCTGATCCCAGCACCCACAGTGTTTTCAGTGTTTCAAACCTAGCCCTGGGGTGCCTGGACAGCTCAGTCTGTTAAGCATTTTCCTTCAGCTCAGGTCATGATCTCAGGGTCCTGGGATCAAGCCCCATATCGGGCTCTCTGCTCAGCAGGGAGCCTGCTTTTCCTTCTCCCTCTGCCTGTCACTTCCTCTTCTTGTGCTCTCTCTCTCTGACAAATACATAGATAAAATGTTTAAAAACTATATTAAAACAACAACAACCAAAAAATACCAATATAGTAAATATACCATTACTGTTGTTTACAGCTACAAATAATTTCTTTCATTCCATATTCCTTCAAAAAATATAGAGTAAAAATCTCTAATATGATAGTTTTTGCAGATTTGATGACCTATCAAGAGCTTTAAAAAAAAAAAAAAAAACCAAGAGCTCATGTGTATTGTCTTATAATAAACTGTGTATCTTACAGGAGGAACTTTTTAAAAATTTTTAATGTAAAAATTGCTTTTAAATGAGAATTTTCAAGTACATAAATAGAGAGTATACTATGATGATTCCTACTTAGCTATCACTCATCACTTATCAGCATATGGCTAATCTTTTTCATATATAATGCCACCCACTTACTCTAATAGCCCATGTAGACACTGGGTTATTTTGAAGCAGATCCCTATTGTCTTATTTGTAAAACCTGAATAAAAACCTCCATTGCAATGGCAAAAATGAGAAAAACAAAACTCAGTTCACTTAATATTAAGTTTCAGGATATGAACAGATTCAGAATCCTAGAATTTTAAGAATTAGAGGGGATATGATAGCCGTTAAAGCTGTTGTCAAACTCCTTAAATTTCTGTACTCCCTCCAGTTGGATTCATGGCTTCAGCCATCTTCTCTTGGATCTTGCTAGCTACATGTTTATTTAATGTTATTTATTTAGCTAACTAAATCACTTAAAGAAGAAAAAGATAAGTTGAGAGAGTAAATACAGTAAAATGACCAGCATTCAAATCACTTCTATTTCTTCAGCTTTCAGTATTTAGTTTAAATGTAAATTTTTTTTTCTAATTTTATATTCATTTTAGCTTTTTAACTGTGGATTCTACCTTTTTCCAGATATGTATATGAATGTGTTTTCCAGTAGGCATATGAATTCTAGCACATTTGCGTTCCTTGAAGTTACCCAGCATACCCTTGTTGAGTTTGTCCTATGTGGACGTTACTGTTACTAAGCTTTGACAGGGAATGGAGATTAAAAAGATGGCGTCAGACCTTCACAGAATTCACGGTTTAGTGTATATAAATTACCCATTTTATGAAGTGCATATTAAAACATAGTTCTTGTTAAATGAATTTAGTTAAGGAAATCTTAATTGTTTCATAACTTTTCAGTCTAAAGTCATTGAGCAAATGATACATTTCACTTGGAAAAAAAAAAGATCATTCCATATCTCTTTTTCCTGGCTCACACTTGAATCTTTTTAGAAAAAAAATTACCATCACTGTAATCTTTATTAAAACCTAGATATAGGGTGCCTAGGTGGCTCAGTTGACTAAGCGTCTGTCTTTGGTTCAGGTCATGATCCCAGAGTCCTGGGATGGAGCCCTCTCCCTCTGCACCCCTCCCCACCACTTGTACTCTCTCTCTCTCAAATAAATAAATAAAATCTTAAAAAAAAAACAAAAAAAATCTAGATACAATGATAATAATAATGTCCAATGTTAGAAACAAGTCAGTTTGAATTCACACACTTAATATTCATGCTTTTTTATCATATGGCCTTAACCTACCTTTCCACATTTCTTTTCTGATTCATATGCCCTACGTCTAAGTAAAAGTTAGTACTTGTTTTTGCCCATAAATCCCCTTACTTTCCTATAGCCCCATGCCTTTACTCATGCTTTACCTTTTGACAGAAAGGGGTACACACTGTTTCTCCATTTCTGAATCTTACCTTTCATAGTTCATCTTAAATGTCACCTTTTTTGGTCAGACTGACCCAAGAACATAATATACATTCAGAATTAAATGTGCTTATTTATGATATTATGCTACTGTCCTTGAGTGAAAAAATGGCTTAAAAATGAAAGTAGAGTTAAATACACAAATTGCATACATATAGTAGATTGCCACAAATGATATTTTAAAATGTTACATTATTCTAAAATGAGACTCTATAGCATAGATAATTAAACATAAGTTATTTTGTTAGAGATAGATGATGATTTTAGTTTCTGTCAAAATGATTTTCTATCAGCAGAGGCTTTTCTTTGCCATGGAAAGCTTTAGTTTTTGTTTTGTTTTGTTTTGTTTTGTTTTAATTTATTTGAGAGAGAGAGAGAGAGAGAGAGATCACACGTAGGCAGAGAGGCAGGCAGAGAAAGAGGGGGAAGAGGCTCCCCGCCGAGCAGAGAGCTCTACACAGGGCTCGATCCCAAGACACTGGGATCATGAGCTGAGCTGAAGGCAGAGGCTTTAACCCACTGAGCCACCCAAGTGCCCCAAGCTTTAATATTTTAAATGTAAAGTATGGAATCACCTCAGCACCATTGTTTATAGCATGATTGGTCACAAATCAAATGGAGCTAGCCAAATGTGGTATAGTATTTGGTATTTCTTAGTATTCTTGATGTAAAAGGGTAACTCTCTGAATGATGTCCAGGATGTTTTAGTTCTAGCCTTCAGAAATAGTGATGTCCAGGATGTTTTAGTTCTAGCCTTCAGAAATAGTCCTTTCTGTGATCATTATTAAATCAATAGGACTCTTCTTTTGTTAGGAGCCCCCACGCCCTGTACACCCAGCACCCTTACCAGAAGCCCCACAGCCACAGCGTCTGCCCCCAGAAGCTGCCAGCACATCTCTGCCTCAGAAGCCACACTTGAAGTTAGCACGAGTTCAGAGTCAAAATGGCATTGTACTGTCCTGGAGTGTCCTGGAGGTAGATCGAAGCTGTGCCACTGTTGACAGCTACCATCTCTACGCTTACCATGAGGAACCCAGTGCCACTGTGCCCTCACAGTGGAAAAAGATTGGCGAAGTAAAGGCACTTCCCTTGCCCATGGCATGCACTCTCACCCAGTTTGTATCTGGCAGCAAATACTACTTTGCAGTACGAGCCAAGGATATTTATGGACGTTTTGGACCTTTCTGTGATCCTCAGTCAACAGATGTGATCTCTTCTTCCCAGAGCAGTTAAACCTTGGAGCCTTTATCGCTTCCTCTTTCTGAGTTCCACTTTTTGGTCTTGTTTTAATCTTGTGCATGATATCCATTGTAAAATCCACATTGTGCAAGATTTCTTGGACAGATGTGTATATACACTACATTTGTTTATAATCAGAAGTAAAATAAATAGCCCATAAAGCAAGAATCTTTTCCTGGACAATTGAAACTTCAAGGTTTTGAAATGTAAATGTGCACCTTGCTTTAGTTTTAAGGCTGGGGAATATGTGTGGGTGTTTATGTGTGTTTTTCCCTATTTATATGTTTACTGCAGTGGAATCTCCCATTTCCATTCTCACATTTACCTCTCTTCAAGTATAAAGTAAGTAGATCAAGGGATCCGAGGTATGGTATGTGGCATGATTTGCTTCTGAGGGATCTGTAGTTTCATACTAAATGACTTAAACTGAATCTGAACAAAACCCAAAGAAAGAAAAAAAAGCAAAATGGTTAAATAGTTTAAAATAGGTTAATTTGAACACAGGAAAGGATCTGTTCATCTTTTTTCTTTTCTTGGTTGTTAATTAGGTGAAAAAGATCTGCATTGGCCCTTGTTTCCTAATCTGGCTCTTACATTTATTTTGTGCCTTAAAGATTAACTACAAAAATAAACATGACCATTTGTCCATTGTTGATCTTCTCGTTCAGCCTTTTGCCCTTCATTTCTCCTTCATCTCTACTAAATATAGCACATTCCCTTCAAGTCAATTTTAAACCAAGGCTTTAGGGATATTCTTACCAGTGGGATCACTAAATTTAACTCTAAAAATTGGACTCACTCTTTTCTTCTAAGAACATAAGTGCTGTTATGTTTGGTCACTATTTAAATTAACTGTATAAAATGGACTAAGAGAAGAAAGACCATATTGTATAAGAAAATTGTCCTTCAAACATATTGTAGAATTTATGTTCCATACTGTGTTAAAGATTAGGAAAACAGTGCTAGTTCACTTTATCACCCAAAGTATAGTATTCTTTCATAGGTAGTAAAATTCACAAAATACAGTGAGCTACAATATCAAAGGGAAAGTTTTATTTCCTTATTATTCTCATATCATTTGTTTGTTTGTTTGTTTTAACCTTTTAACTTTGTTTTGATAGTGCCAAGTTTTGTCTGATTTACCCTCTGTCAACTTTGGACAGAATTTCAAGTATATCCTTTGGGGTTATTTTATGTAGCAATTAGGTAATCCTTTCTGTGCATCTCTGTTCCTGTTGAGAGTTAATCAATTTCCGTTTAGATCATGGATTTTCAGTATGAGTGCCAGCTTTACTGGTATCAGGTAGCTGTTCAGGTGTGGGTAGTTTAGGGCAGGAGAGATGGGATAAGTTTGGGGATGAGAGTATGGTTGGGAATAGTTTGAAAGAAATTCATGGAGTTTGTGAAATAGCTTTTCAAGTCTGAGAATAAATTCATTTTTAAATTTTTCTTGGGATTATAGGAGGGAGCTATCCCTTTTATTAATGCTGCTTTGTTTGCAACTTCGGTAGCTTGTAATGGGAAGCATTACAGTAATGCTGTAAAGAAACTCTCATTAGAGACTTCACTGGTCAGTATATTGTCACATTAGGTGTAAAGTTTGATTGATGCTGAAGAAAGCCTACAAATTGCCAAAATGTAAGTGCTCCAGAACCTTCCTTTCACTTTCAGAAAATGAGACCACAATGAGAATTGAAGTTTTCATGAATCCAATTTGCCAACCAACTAACGTAGATGTTACTCATTCTAGGACTAACAATGATGGTAAAAGAAGTTGTCAGTGTCATGCCAACGAAAATTTGAAAAGGGAGAAATTGATAATCTTCTAGATGTGTATGAACACCTCTCTATATCTGCATGTGTATATGTTTTTATCTACAATGGTTGCGTCGCTGATCATGTGTTCAAGATCATTCCTGTCTACAGAATGGAAAGCCCGTGTTCAATTAAAAGTGTTCTTTATTGGCCGGTTTTATGGTCATGTGATGACAATTTGCTTATCTAGCCTAGAAAAACTTCCTTGGTGAATGTTTTTGTTTATATTCACTAATCTTTTTTTTTTTTTTAAAGCTTTCATAGCATTATATAATCAGGTGAAGAAAGCCCAGTAGAATGAAAATACATTTTAGCCTATACTGTGTCTTCTGTCAAACAAAAATAAGTTCTCAAATGGTAACCCTAAAAATACATTTACTACACCAAAATAAAACTTTTTATTCCAGATGGTGGAAGGAAGGTACAAAGAGAGAGTGTAATTATTTGAGGAAAGTGTGTATTATGAGATGCTCTCCTCAAATTAGCATGCCATGGGATTTATAGGCAACAGCTATACTGAATTTACTGAGAAGTGCTAGGCTAGAACTATAGGCATTTATTTTGGACAGGTTTTGTTGATGAGCTCTGACTTTTGGTTTATTTCCTTTGGGAGAGAGATTGCAAGACTATATTGTAGCAGTTCACACTCCATGGTACCTTTTCACAAAGTATTACAGATAAGTTTGGTTATCCCATTTTGGGAATGCAAGTCTGCTACAGTTTAAGCCTGACATTACCTGTGTAAGTATTGCCTTATTGGAAATCCTGAAAGCTTCTGATATTTCCACCTAAAGTATAGGATGTTCATATGGCATTTGAAGATAATGGTGATGTTTGTTACTGTCTGTTTTGCACTTTATCAGAGTAATTTTCACCCTGTTTTAAGTGTGAGTAAGCCTCTTTTTAAAGTTACGTTCTTGCCAGTAAATTTATAAAATACAAAGACAACATCTGTTGTTAACTGTTAACTTTCTGAGGTAACTATATCCCTGTTTCCCTGAACTCACTTTAAAATATGCAGAATATTGTGTACTGTTTACTACTGTACTACACAGTAGATGTTCATGAGAGAAGTGAAGAGTACAGCTTTCTTCCTTGAAAAGTACATTTTATCGGGATGCTGTTTGCCTCACAGAGAGTGTTTCCCACTTGCCCCACCCCCATTGCTGGATAATAAATGAAAGATTTCATTGGGAAATGTGACCAAAAGCAAGGAATTTCGAATTTTTGGTACACCTGTCTGCAAAATTCCTTAGGCAGGCAGGCTGCACTATACAGTTCTCTTACTGTATTGAGTAAGTGTTAACTTAGTTTTTGTCATTTGCTCTTCTGCTTACATTTTCCAAATTATTTATGCAGCAAGGTGAATGTTAATATTGCATGATATGCATTTATCTTGTTCCACAAATTTTCCAGTACTGTACAAGATTAACAAAACAATGCCTGTGGTATCCTCTTCTCTTACTTTGATACACTGTGATTTTAACACATTAGAGTACTGCAGAGACCTTCCAAGTGTTCTCCCCAACTTTCCTTCTTGGGCTATTTCAGAATCATATGATTTATTCATTATTTTAATTTCTTTGTTGGCCAGTCATTGACTTGCTTTATTCTAATTTCCAGAAAAACCATGCCCCAATATTGGATTGTTGGAAATAATTCTATCTAAAATCAGTGCAGGATTCTCCCTTCCCTTACTATTTACTGAGTGATGCCCCTCTCCCACTTTTTAAAATTTTTGGACAAAAAGAACAACCTCATGAAGTGTTTTCATTAGTGTGGCAGACTTAGATCTAATTCCTAAAGTGCATTCCCCTAGAGCCAGCCAATGGGGAGGAATGATAAGACACGTTTTGTCTTCTTCAAATAGTTTTATCATGCTACATAAGGTTTTTGTTCTTGTTTTTGTTTTTTTATTTGTAGAGTCAGCTAAGTACCCATCATTCATACTTAAATGCTGGGGGGTTTTGTTTTTTTGTTTTGTTTGTAAATAAGGTAACTGGGCAATCAAACACCTTTTTGGGATCCTGGCTTCATTATTTTCTCAGCCATTTCAAAATTAAATACAAAAATAAATCCTTTGTAGGAAACTTGCATCCTGATTTTTCTTTATTGCAGTTGAAAGTGTAAATAATAAGACAATGTAAGACCTTCCTAATGTCTAATATAAACTGGGCTATAGTGAGTTGCCCTATTTTTATTAGATTTTGAAGGTTTTGTGGTTTTTTTTTTTCTTTTTTAAATGTACAGTAGAGTGGTGTCTGTATAAGTGTTAACTGTAGTGGGATTTTGTCCAGCAAGCCTGAAATTTATACTTTGAAATAAACTACTGGGTTTTTAACATTCTGAGTATTCTGATTCATTCTAATTATTCTCAGCCCTTGTGTTGCTTATGGATGTTTCTCACCTCGTTAAGAATCACCCATTATACTGTATAATATGGTTTATTTAACCCATTTTGGCAATACCACAGCACTCAAACCACATACAGTTCTCTAGCTTTGAAAGAGAAGTTGTTACGTAGAGTTGCTCCCAGATTAGATGTGCTGTTTTTAACTGATGGGAGACCACATTAAGATAATATTATGTGCCTAGTCTGTACCATAGAAGGACTCAGCTGGTGCTTGTTAATGACCAGAAGAACCACTAACTGCATTTCTATTAGCGGTTCCTTTGAAGCTCCACCATCCCCTAGGGCTTTGTCATTAAGTATATCCAGCCCAGGGAAGGATAAAAAGCATGGAAGAGGACAGGTTCTTAGGAGCCAGGCTGGAAGTGACACTAGTATCAGGTTCCTTGGCAAGAACCCTATCACGTGGCACAGCTGTGTAGGGGAACCTGGGAGACGTAGTCCATGTGCCAGGCATGAAAGGAGAATATGGATCTGGGTGAGCAGTTTCGGCTGTACCATCTTGTGTATATATATATAAACTTGTATGCTAAAGCCAGGTATTATTTATTTTCCTGTTTTCCAGAGTATTTCTTCTATAGTGTGTCACCTTGTAGTGAATGTTTGTTGTAAACAAATAAACAAAACCCTGCAAAATCAACAGAAAATGAAAGCAGCAGGCTGAATTTAACATATTTTATTAAGACTAATTCTGAATGGAAAAACATAGCTGAAATAGTGCCTTTGGAATCTTATTTGCAACCCTCTATTCCCTTCTATTCCCTCAACTCCCTCCTTCATTTTATGTCACGTTTCAAAATCGGTTTCATGGTAATAAAATCAAAGTCATAGGTCTCTGGCATGCCCTTGTGGAGAGTTTTGTTGAAACGGTTCCAATGAAAAACAGGGAGGCCACCTTGTACTGTGGGACCACTAATGGCATAGGCTGTGTACTCTGATGCAAGGTAGATATCTGCCACCTGAAAAGAGAAAGGAGAGGGACATCTTAGAAAACCATTTGGAAAAAACTAGATTCCTGTTTTTCCTTGTGGGGTTGTTTTTGTTTTTTGTTTTTTTGTTTGTTTGTTTGTTTTGGTCCTGCTCTTTTTCCAAAGTCACAGTATTAGCCCCCTTTTAAAATAAAATTTTGCAAGCTTCCACAACATGCTCTTCCATAACATTGGTATTCAGATGTGAATTGAGTAGAAGTGCATTAATGTAGCCAAAAATGTGAGATCGGGAGTCAGAAGGCTCATGTTCAGAATTTTAGCTCCAAAACTTGTTAAAAAAAACCCTATGGGATTCCATTTTCTTATTTGTGAAAGGATTTTGATAACCATACTTCATAGAAGAGTTGTTACAAGGATTAATGAGAGAAAATGCTTGGAGTAGTGGCTAGATACCTTCTTCAACAAAAGTTGTTATTAATCAGGGCAGTAACGAGTTTTATTTATTTTTAGGAAATCAAGTTTTATTTATTTATTTATTTGACAAGAGGGGGAGAGAGAGAGAGAGCGAGCGAGTGCACAAGCAGGCAGAGCAGCAGGCAGAGGGAGGGGGAGAAGCAGGCTCTCCACTGAGCACGGAGCCCGATGCGGGACTCCTGGGATTATAACCTAGACAGAAGGCAGACACTTAGCTGACTGAGCTACCCAGGCACCCCGTAACAAGAGTTTTAAAGTAGAAGAAAATATCAAAAAAACAAGGTCCATGGTTCTCAAAAGCACCTAAACACTGGATAGCAGCAGATCTCAACCTTAGAGGAAAAAGAAAAAGATACCTCATAACTTCTGATTTTCCATATATCCCAAATGACTCAGGGGAAATGCTAAATATATCCTTAAACTCTTTTGATGAAAAATTGGCAGATTCCTCTCTCCAGAAGAAAGTAAAGTTTGGCAGATGGAAGGTTGGCTTAGGTTCTCTCAGGCAAGGCAGCAGAGGTAATTCTCTGTGTATTCTGGAATGGCTAGAACACTTCTTACACACTTTACCGAATGTTTGCAAACACCATTAATAAGAAATAAGCATTCATTAGGGTTTCGTGTGTGTCAGGCTCTCTATATCCACTGAATTTTACTTTACACAACATACTGGGGGTCATTAAAGCTAGAGCTCTGGTATCATATGGATAAAAAGTAGCTTGAGTAGGAACTAGACTATTCTGAAGCATCTTCTTTTCAGGCATTAGGCTGATAGAAAAAATTATGTGTAGGGGGATCAGCATTCTTAACAGTTAACTCCACTTCTAACTGATTTCTTCCAGAATTTAGGAATGAAAGTGCAAACAAAGAGACATGCCCAAACCAGAAATGCAAAAGGACGTGTCAGAATGATTCTTTTCCACCAACCACATGGCTAACTCATACCCTCGGACACCCCAAATCTGGTAGTCTCCAGGAAAATTATTAATGACCAGCTCTCTGAGAGGAAAAAAAGACCCTGATTTGTAGTGTTTGCTGATTTGCATAGTGTAAATACTCCTCCATGGCTGATTTCAAGCTGTCCACATCTGATTTTAACAACTGGTTCTCACAGCCCTTATGAGCTGGCTTCAGCCCACCACTGCAAATAAGTAATACCCATTTATTATCTATATTAGGTGATGCATTACAGCACTTAATAATTCTAACATGGCGAAAACCCTTTAGTGCTTGTCCAGTAAACTTGTTCCTCCAGCTAAATTCAATTCCTGTTTAATGTGAAATCACACTGCTCCCAATAATAGGTTCTTTGGACTTTGGGCTAGTCTGGTAAAACTTAAGACATCAATGTCATCACCATCCTC